TTAAATATATAAGTGTGTTTCAGTCAAAGAACACTGGCGGAAATTATGGAAATGATACGCATTGGCAATTTAATACATAGAGGATTGGTAAACATAAATATAGATACAGGATCTATGGATTCCACAGAATTGAACAACATAATTTTGGACAATAAAATAACATTGCTGTATGGTGATTATTTGTTTAGTGCTAGTTATTCCAAAGCAGCAGCTCTTAAAAATCAAAATGTAAATATACATATTTGCTGTTTTTCTTGCTTATGCTGTGTGTCATTGTAATTTATCACAAGAAAAAAAAGGGAAAAAAATTTTTTTTTTCATTAAAAGGCTTCTAACAAAAAAGATATTTTTCAGCTTTCGTTATTAATATCAACTGCAGTAAGAGACTTATGTCAAGCAGAGTTTGTAGCCCGCAGAGACAATCAAAATTTTCCCATACCGTCAATACCACCTGAGGATCGTACGGGTTACGCATTGAAGGAATGGACACTTTTAAACACTTATGCTGCTGGATCTTTGCTTGGAAAAGGTTGCCAAAGTACATTAAAAATAGCTGGTCACAGCAAAGAAATAGAAGAGAAGGGATACGAATTTGGCAAACACTTAGCTTTAGCTTGGCAAGTAATGTATTTTAAATAAATTTCATCTTTTGCCACATTTTTTGTAAAATACTTATAATATTTTTAATAAGTTTTTGTAATAATTTTTTTACAGGCTTCCTTGGACTTAGGTTTATGCATTAATAAAGACAAGGGAATTTTGCAAAACTTGTGTGCTGCTCCGATTATGTTCCATGTTGAACATGATCCATCATTATTAATAGAGCTCGATAAGGGATTGGACTCAGTTGAGAATGTTGATTATTTAAAGGTTTTTGAAATAATTAATATTTAATAAAATTGATGCACAATCAAATTAATTGCTATCCTTTATCGTGTGTTCAACAGAAAATTATATGAATAATTTGTGTTCACAGGTACTTAACATTGTTGCAGCTGGTCCAGGCATTGGATTAACTAAAGAGCTCGTGAAGAAGCACTCACAAAAGGCAATGGAAATCTTAAGTGTGTTTAAAGAGAGCGATGCCAGAAAGGCGTTATCTAATATTATTGTAGCTATAGGTGACTTTTAACAAAAAAGTTTTTTATTTTTTATTTTATTGTTCAGTAAAAATTTCAAGGCAAGATTTCAATATATATTTTTGTATTTGTATACTCACTGTATATGTATATATATGTGTATCTTGTGTACAAGCATAAGTGACAAGTGATAACGAATGTTATAATTCGGAATGTAAATAAACAATTAAAAATATAAAACGTATTTAATATTTACATGTGTGCAAAAATTTAATTATCCATATACTTACAAACAGCGGTTATATTAGGGTATTATATACTTTGTAATAACATATTGTGTGTAATATCTTACATCGTGAATAATGTATGATTAATGAATTTCGAAACATAATATTTGTTATTGCTTGTTGCTTTTATACACACACGCACGCGCGTGTGTGTATAAATGTAACAAGCTTCTATTTGAATTCCGAATTATAATATTCGCTATCGCTTGCTATTTATACTTGTGCAGAAGATATCTTCAAATTTGAATAAAAACATTACAGCAAAAAAGTTTTTGAAAAAAAAGTTAAAAACTATTTGCCATTTATCATTCTGAGTATAAGTTTTTTAGATACAAGGGTGTAAAACTGGCCAATTATAGATTATAGTTAAACGGTTATTTGTCCATGAGTCGCGCATCGATATAATTACAGTGATCGCGCGTGGCGATTCATGGACAAACGGCAACTGTTTAATTGTAATCTGTAATTGGTCAGTTTTAAACTTTACAAGTACATCTTAAACATTACTATTCAATGAAAAATGATAAATAGATTTTTAACTTGTTTTTTCCAAAAACTCTCTCTCTTTTGCTGTAGTATCTTAATTTCCTGGGAAAAAATGCTTTGTATATATAGTTACACAGAAAAAAGACTATTCTTAAATCAACCATAATATATTCATATATATAAGCAAAACAATTATAATCTTGCTTCAAAGATATCAATCTTGATTTGATTAAATTTGTTTTGATGCAAGTATTACTTTGCACTTAATTCAAGACTTGCTCAATTAAAAATCTTATATGAATACAAATTCAATCAAATCAAGATTGATATCTTTGAAGCAAAATTATAATATTTTTGCTTATATATAAATATATTATGGTTGATTTAAGAATAGTCTTTTTTTTCTATGTACCAAACTGAGAAGAAAAGTCCTCTACCATTTTGCAATTTTCGCAATAGTTATAACAAGATATTAATTACTAAAAATTGTCTGAATCTGGAAATTATGTGTTTTCTCACGGTGTCTCACAAGCTTCATGTTCAAAAAAAGGATTACATTAAGTTAAAAAATTTAAACCGACGACTGTAATTTTGACAATTTCTTTTGATTGAATTTTCAAGTATAAAAGAATAAATTTAAAGTAACATCGAATAACTGTAAATTAATCAAGATAATTTTATATGACGACTGGTTTAATGCGACTTATCCAAAAAAATTTTTTTTGATTATTGAACATTGTATGTAACCTTATATGACGACTTCTTAATTGCGGATTTTTTAAAATTGATTCTTTTTGTGTTATTTATTTGATTTGTATTGCATATTATATCAAATAGTCACGCGAAAAACATTTTATTGTACTGAAGATGGTCAAATCTTGACAGAAACGTCTACGAAATTTTATTATTGTTATGATAATTTTAAATATATGACTTCACAAAAACATCTTGTGCTGTAGCTATATGCTCCTTTTTATTGATATTTTGTTATTTAAGTCACTTCTAAAATTTAATTTATTGGATGTAACTTTTTCAAGTCATTAAAAAGGCTAAGGGGTCCCCTCATTTCCCTAATATTGCTCTCTTGAATTTATTCTTCTGGTACTGCTAAAAATGTAATATGTGGTTTTATACACGATGTGTTGGAGCTGAATGGAAGGAAGCAGTTCATTTGCGATCGCTGTTTTTAGAATATCGTCTTAATTTTGTGTTTTCCTATATAGATAACACAAAGAATTTAAAAAGAATTCAGTGATATATCATCAATTATAAATTCATTTTCAGATGCAACAAGAATATTTTTTTTGAAAAGAATTCCTGTTGCATTTTAAAATGAGCTCAGAATTGATGACCCATCACTGAATTCTTTTTGAACTCTTTTGAACTCTTTGTGCTATCTAGGTTTACATTAGAAAAAGAATTTTGTTCTATTTTATCACCCAAAAAGTTTTAAGTTTCCTTTTAAATCTTCGCCTTTATCATGTATTCCGTTTTAATAAAAAGAAAAAGTAGCAAAAAGAGTACATTTCAGATATATTAACCATCATATTATCCAAATGGTTCCACTGCTCCATCCATGTTTTATCGTACGCATGTGTGAACTGAAACAAGGACAGTTCAGAATCAGATTCATCTTTTTTTATCATATCGAGTTAGCAGTCTAATTAGAAGTCTGTTCATCTGTTACCGTTAATACACCAATGGTGTATATTTTATGTTTGATAAAATACACTGTGAGTTTAATTTTTTATATTTGAAAATCTATATACTACATTTATGAAAAGGAACATTACTTATCGTTTAATTTTTCTTGATAAGACCTAGTGATAAATGACAATGAAATCGATGTCGAATCGACGTAACCCTTAAAGATCTGATAAGAAGTGAGATAATAAGAAGGGAACTCTTAAGATCCAAGACATAGTGAGATGGACGAGAGCGTGGCGATGCCAATGAAGAGACCATATCGATAGAATGGGCCTAAAAAAAAGTATCAAAATGGGCGAAAACATAGGTCCAGTACAACTTGGTCACTAGGCAGACCACCTAAGGCGCTGGCACGAGAGTTGGATCTCAGGTTCACAAGAAGCGCGATAGAGGCAGAAAAGACAGAACACCTTGTCCTAATATAAGAAGAAGAATAAGAAGAAGAAAAAGAAGAAGACGTATTTATCATTTTTTATTGGACTTTTTATTCTGAAATATTGAAAAATTAATGATGTTTGTCAGACATATGGTTTGTTACATAATCGAGAACCACCCAAGCAGCACGTATATCCAAAGTGAGAACATACAACGTCTTATGTCATATGTCTAACAAACATTATTAATTTTTCAATTTTTTAAAGAAATACTATTTGTCATGGAAATTATTACGATGGAAAAATTCCAGTTAGGCAATTACAGTGATAATAAACTCAATATTTTTTTGGTCGAGTTGGCTAAGATACTCGCCAAATCTCGGAAAATCGAGAGGTTCCAGGTTCGAACCCTAGCTGAGGTAATATTTTTCGCAATAAGTTTTTTATAATTTTTCTAATTTAATTTAGTGGGAATTTAGAGGGAAGTAGTAGCGTTTCAGACTGATTGTGTAGAAAGTCCGAAAGTTATCGGCGCGCAATCATATCTGAAATAAATTTATTTAATTAAGTATACATATCGTATTAATCGAAACATTTAACTTTGCCCGAAATAATGGCATTCTCTGTCATATTTGATGTATTCATATGTACGGTTGTTCTAAATTTAAAAATATATGTTTACACACACGCGGCTCTTTATAACGCGTTCTCTTTATATACCAGTTATTACGAGGAATATTTTCGAAGCCTCAGTGGCTGAGTTGACTAAGACACTCACCTCGGAAAGTCGAGAAATTCGAACCCTGGCTGAGGTAATATTTTTTGCAATAAGTTTTTTACAGTTTTTCAGATTTAATTTAGAGGGAATTTAGGGGAGAGAAGCGTTTCAGACTGATTGTATTGAAAGTCCGAAAATTATCGGTGCCCAATCATATCTGAAATAAATTTATTTAATAAACTACACATATCGTATCCGAAACATCTAATTTTGACCAAAATAATGGCGTTCTCTGTCATATTTAATGTATTAATATTTTTTATTTATTTCTTTTCGAATGCAACGTTGAGACAGCGTAATTTTGTCAAGCACAATCGATAAGGAAATGATATCGATTCCCTTTGCCATTGTTATATAAAACAATTTTGAGATTCGACAAGCACAAACAGTATCATGTCGTGGACGATCCATTTGTGTGCTCTTTTGCTCTTTGCAAGCAGTTCTTTTGCTAGCAAGATTCAAAATAAATCATGGTGGAATAACACCGTTTTCTATCAGATTTATCCGAGAAGTTTCTGTGACTCAGATGCCGATGGCATAGGCGATTTAAAGGGTAAGCATATGCTAATTGTGTCACTAGTTGTTATGTCTCGTTTAATAAAGAGAATAACGAATTATTAAATTAATATACACGGAGAGAATTTTCTTTTAAAATTTACCCTGAAAATATGGTGATTGTGGTACAATACAATATTTTAAAGATTTTTACCATGCACTTCAGTAAAATTGATCAAACTTATTTTATACTTTATTGTAATTTTATTAATGAATGAGAGAGATTTATATCAAAATTCTTCGAAATACAATGTTGTCCCACGATTGTCATATTTTCAGGGTAAATTCTAAGAAAAAATTCTCTCCGTGTATAACAATTACAAATTCTATTGAATTATATTGGATTAATTATTGCACAATTTTATATACCTAATCTGAAAATGTTTATCTAAAAATTGAAAATATTTGAACATAACAACGACGATAATTAAATCTGTATTTTTTGCATTGTCAGGGATTATTTCAAAGTTGGATTATATTGCGGAAACTGGCATCAATGCGATTTGGCTGTCGCCCATATATACAAGTCCCATGGTTGATTTTGGGTACGACATATCCGATTTTGTTGACATCGATCCAATTTTTGGTTCATTGAAAGACTTTAAAGCTCTTCTGGCGCACGCTAGAAAGCTTGGTCTAAAAGTGAGATGACTAATATCTTACATATTTATAAATATAATTTTTTTGTATTATAAATACAATATTAAGAATTTTTATTTTAGATGCATATGTGAGAAATACAATAAATACTAGAAATTTAAAATGCCTATTACGGTCGAAGCTGGATCTTCATTGCTTTAAAATAATTCAATCTTGAATTACTAATATACACTATATATGTACTTGCATATATACCATATTGTAATCTTTTCGAACTGCGCGACGAATTGTTTTTTCGGACTATAAATCCTACAAATAAGAAAAGAGTACAAAGTGATATAGGTATATGCAAGTACATATATAGTGTATATTAGTAATTCAAGATTGAATTATTTTAAAGCAATAAAGATCCAGTTTCGATAATAATAGGCATTTTAAATTTCTAGAATTATAATTACATTTAGATAAAAAATGTCAATAAGACTTTTTTATTTCTGTTCCTTCTAAAAAAACATTTTTATTATGTTTTACTTTTTATTGCTACTTTGGAATCATTTTATATTATTTTTACAGGTAATTCTCGATCTTGTGCCAAACCATACATCTGATAAGCATATATGGTTCCAAAAGGCTGTTCAAGGTCATAAAAAGTATAAGAATTATTATATATGGGCAAACGGCAGAAATAATGACGACAAAACACCGCCTAACAATTGGATTAGTGTATTTGGTGGATCCGCGTGGACTTATGAAGAATCACAAAAACAATGGTATTTCCATCAATTTGAGTATAGACAACCTGATTTAAATTTCCGTAATCCTGCAGTAAGAAAGGAGATGTTGGTAAGTATCAATAAATTAAAATTTTTTTTTAATGTTACTATATATTGTACTCTTTTTGAAAGATACCCCCATAACTCAAAACACTTTTAATTATATTTTTTTTATTGATAAAAGTGATAAATTAGGATTTACAACTTTAATAAACTGTGATAATAAATCATACTACATATATTATTAATATAATTAAATAAATATATTAATATTTTATTATTATAATATAAAAGATTAAAAAAAAAGTTTTTTTATTTTCGATATTATCAAAAATTAAAGCGAAAAAACGAGGACTAATGAGAATTAAAGCACAATAATTGGAACGCTAATTAATTTGTATAAAAACATTTTTTATTCAAATTTTTTGCTTTTTTTTTGATAGATAAGCTTAATATAAATCTTTCGATTTCTGTATGTGATCTCGGTTTTCTTTCGATTGTATAATATGGAAATACAATGAAGTAAGTTAGTTCAATAAGTTATATAATTCATTATAAGAATTTATTGGTCTTAATTTTTTATTATATAGTGTATCTTTTAATTTTTTAATTTATTATTTAGATTATTTTATTTAACATTTAAGACATGTCTTATACGAAAAATGTAAAAATGAGTTTGTATTTTCAAAATAAAGTCGAAATGTAAATTCGTGCGTTTTATAATTAAAAAATATGTATAAAAGAATTAATAAAAAGGTGTTATTTTAGAATTATCAATTTTCACAATTTTCGAAAATTTTTTTGATTAATTACAGAACGTTTTGAAATTTTGGTTGGATTTGGGTGTAGACGGATTCCGCGTTGATTCGGCCCCATTTATTTATGAAGACTCTGAATTGCTAGACGAACCTAAAAGTAACATAGACGGTGTCACGTCGCGAGAATATAAGTATTTGAAGCATATTTATACCATGGATTTAATCGATACTTACAAATTGTTTGGAGAGTGGCGAAAATTCATGGATTCATATGCTTCAAAACGTAATCAGGATCAGAAGGTGAATGATATACGATATTCTATTTCTTTTTTTTTCATTAAGATTATTTATCGTTTTTCATTCTTTGTACATGTTGTAAGATGTTTTCTTTCTGATTTAGTTGATGGTGATGGAGGCGTATTCCGATCTTAAGCACACTATGCAATATTACTATTATGATTTACTTCCTTTTAATTTCAATTTTATTACAAATGTGAACGCAACATCGTCTGCGCAAGAATTTAAACAACAAATAGATCTGTGGATGAATTCGATGCCAAGAGGTAAAATCGCTAATTGGGCGGTACGTAATTATAAATGAAATTAGCATTATTTTAATGAAGACACCATAAATTAATTTTATATTACATACATGTATTTAATATTTTTATTATTTTGTTACAAAACCCAACAAGATGCTTAAGTTGTTGTAAATGTTACGAGAAATTTTGATCTAAATGTACATAGTTGATCAATTTTATCAATTTAAAACCTGAAATTGCAAGTTATTTATTTTAAATAAATATGTTAAGCTCGGACTCTCTTTCTTTAAAATAACAAAGCAACTATAATTCAAGGCTACTGGGAGTCAGCGCGGAAGAAGATGCGCAACATCTGTTGTAAAAAATATGAAAATATTACACCATAGACGTTCTATTAAAGAGAGTCTTCTTTATTTAAAGTTCTTGAACGGTTCAACTCACTTTGAAGTTCTCTTCAGGATTCATAAATATATTCAGGATTCTAAATTATGTTGGTTAAGCAGTCTGCCGAGAAGGAGTTCAAATTGCCCGTTAATTTGAAATTGCTCGTTAGACATATTCGATACTCCAGACGGTTTAGTCGGAGAAACATCATATCTGTATAAAATAGCACATTAACATTTCTATTGAATATAGTATTATAGATAAGAAATTCTAAAGCTTCGTGACAAGGTTGAAGTTTGTTGAGTAGCCACTACAGCTTTGGCAACTTGTGAGTGATTCCGTCTTCTTTCGCGCTGACTCTCAGTAGCCTTGAATTAGTTGCCATGTTATTTTATTTATTTTATTCCTTTGCCTGTATAAAAAGATCTATATAATATAAGAAATTCTAAAAAATCTTAAAATTATTGAAGAATCTATTACAACAGATTTATCTTAATTGCATTCTATAAAAATAAGAATTCCCTTATTTTTTCTATAGGCAATAATTTGATATAAATTTTTTTTCAGATGGGAAATCACGATAATCCCCGAGTTGCCTCTCGTTATCCTAACAGATCGGATCAAATGACCATGTTGTCTATGGTTTTGCCAGGCTTGGTAATGACATATAACGGTGAAGAAATTGGCATGGTGGACAAGAGAGATATATCTTGGGAAGATACACAGGACCCTCAAGGGTGTATTGCGGGTAAAGAGAAATTTAACAATACGTCTCGTGATCCTGAACGCACGCCATTCCAATGGGACGCGACAATAAATGCAGGTAAAGGATAAATTTGTGTCCACCACAGTGTATTTAGTAAAACGAATAACATAGTTTTCCAAAATACGGCTATTTAATTATTTATCTTTACAGGTTTCAGTACAGCAAATTTGACGTGGCTTCCGGTACATCAGAACTATAAGGAATTGAACTTGGCGGACCAGATAGCAGCCGATAAATCGCACTATAAGATTTATAAGACCTTAGCCCACATGCACCGAACAGAACCGGCCCTTACTGAAGGAAGTTATAAATCAATTATGACAAACAATGACACTGTTCTAGGTATAATCCGAAACAATGGTAGCCGCGTCGTGTTGCTACTGATTAACTTCAGTAATGATAAACAACAAGTTGTCGATTTGTCACAAGAAGAACTTCCTTCGAAATTGAAGGTCAAAGTCTCCAGTATGGATTCTGAAGTGACATATGGGTACAGTTTACGCATTTTTTGAAATATTAATAGTTAATTAATAATAAAAATAAGTAATTTTTGTTTTTTAATTAGTTGTTTGTATAGAAATTGTTCAGATAGAACTACTACTGCTATAAAAAAAAATGTGTTCAAATAATATTTTGGCAAATAAGAAATTGTCTATAAATTTTTTAAAGAAATTATTATGAAAAATATATTATGTTATAATGTTGAAAGAAAATATATTCTATATAAATTAATTAATAATAATTTATGTCTGTTCTTTTACTTATAGGAAATTGGTTGATGTAAAGAAGATATCTCTATCTGCTAAAGCTACTGTAATATACACGACCATATGAATGCACAACTTTCTAACTGCATATACCTATCTATTGTATATTCTAGAAAATTTGTCAACTGCACTTGTAAATTGTAACTTTTCTTGCAATAAAAAAACATAACTTAGCACAGCAATTCTTGTAAATAAAAATTAACTGTACATTTTTGTCATATTTGTGTACCTATAAATGGAATTTTTGTCTAATTTGAAACTCTGTTCGCATGACTATTCTATTTCATTGATTTATTATTTAAAATTATGCAAGTCTAAATAAAAAAATCCAGATTGTAGCATATGAGTCATGGTACAAAAGGGACTCAAAATTAAATTATAAATACACCGTGGTTCAATAAACACAAACAATTCTTTGTCTGAAAGGCATATACCACGAACACCAGGTAGTAGTGGCGATTATTAATAAAAGAATTGTAATAATCGCCACTACTATCTGGTGTTCGTGGTATATGCCTTTCAGACAAAGAATTAAAAGGGACTGAATTATGTCACTAATTGTAAGTGACGGATCAAAGGTATGCATGATTCAGTAGATTTATATCTAAATAGCGCTATTGAGTAGCGAATGTTCATGATTTCATAACGCCATGAATTTATTTAATATGGATTTTGATGAGAGACTTTTTTATTAGTATTGATATTTACTGAAGTATTGCGTATTTATTGCATGGTTATTTTGCCACATCACTTACAACTAGTAACGAAATTGAGTCGCCCATAATTGAAAAATTATTTTAAGGCCTGATTTCACAATATATGGTTACCTAAAGATTGAAGGTAACCAAGAAATTCATGAATGAATCTGTTGGTAACCTTTAATCTTTAGGTAACCATACACTCAAAAAAGTGATCTTGCAGTTATAGCGAAAATAATCTAAGTACGGAAACTAGATAAAATAAATAAATTTCTAGCAAGTACTGCGATATTGTATTGCACCTAATCATGTAGATGACAGAGATAGAATTTAGATTTGTGCTATAAATTCTATTTGTATGATACATAATTTTCTATCAGATACAAAAAACAGCTATAATTCTAGCTGGAGCAGCAAAATATTTTTTTGCGTCTATGTTGTGAAAATAGGCCTAAGTCTCCTTTTAAATCTTCATCTTTATCAACATTTATTCCGTTTTAATAAAACTGAAAAAAATGGCAAAAGTGTACATTGCAGATATTAATCATCTTATGATCCAAATGGTCCCACTGCTCTCCATCCATCCATGTTTTATCATATGCATGTATGAATTGAAACAAGGACAGCTCGGAATTAGGTTCATCTTTTTCTATATATCATATCGAGTCAGCAATCTAGTTATAGAAGTCTGTGGATCTGTTACTATTAATACGTACACCAATGGTGTATATTTTATGTTTGATTGAATACATTGTGTGAGTCTAATTTTTTATATTATTTAAAAATCTATATACTATATTTATGAAAGAGAACAATACTTATCGTTTAATTGTTCTTGATAAGAGGTTATTAAACAAAACTTTAGAATTATGTAATTTGTGCGCCTTAAAATTAATATAATAAACAATTTTTGTCTCTTGCTACTTTTTTGTAAAGTTGATAGTACTTGAGTAAAAAATTATTGAAGATCAATTATTTGGCAATTTTTAGTAATTAATATCTCGTTATAAATTGCGAAAATTGCAAAATGGTAGAGGATTTTTCGACTCAGTTTAGTCCGCTCTATCTACAAAAAGCGTTTAACAGAAATCTTGGATACCCTGTATAATGAATAAATTATTAAACTACTTACTACTGCATTAAATCTGTATCTTTTGTACGCTACATTAAAAAAAGTCTTAATTTCAAAGAAATATCTCTTTACTTGCATTCAAAAAATTATTTCTTTGGATCAATAAAAATTTCTTTGAAAATAAGATATTGTACTTTCAAAGAAATAATGTATATTGTATATTTCAAAGAAATTTTCATTGATTCAAAGAAATAATTTTTTTGAATACGAGCAGATATTTCTTTGAAATTAAGATTTTTTTTCAGTATATGTATGTATATTTCATATAATGTATGTTTATTATTTTTTATTAGAGCTGACGAAAAATTGTATCGCATGCTGTTAATTTAAATGTATAATGATTAATTAAACAATCTTTTAGAGAGATATTAATTGTTTATCACGAAAATCCATACACGAAAATCCATAATGATCATAGAGTTTATTTTGTTACGTTTCATTTTCCACTCCTTCTGAGTTACTTTAATGTATCATACTTATAAATGATCAGTCAGTATATGTATGCCTAACATTTGAACATACGACGTCTTATGTTCTGACTTTAGATATGCGTGATGTTTGGATGATTCTCGGTTATGTAACGAACCATATGTCTGACTCATTAATTTTTCAATTGTTCAAAGAAATACCAGCTTTTTGTCATGGAAATTATTATGGAAAATTCCAGTTAGGTAATTACTGTGATAATGGACTTAATATTTTTTATTTATTTCTTTTTGAATGCAACGTTGAGGCAGCATTATATAACTAAGATAGAATGAAATAACGCGTATAAAATTGAGCACTTACACGTTGCTTCATTCTATTCATTCTATCTTACATATGTAATGAGAGAAAAAAAAGATGGAATGAAGTTTACATTGTAAGCGCCCGAAACGGGTGGACTTCATGTATATGTATAAGTGCTATACACTCCTAAGCGTCAAGCGTCATTTCGACTGCGCGCGAGACGATGAGATGAGGAGAGTAGTGGAAGGCGGAGTCAAGTCAAAAATCAGCCAAGAAGTGCATTCGTGCCGAGCACTGTTATATATAAACAATTTTGAGATCGACAAGCATAAACTGCATCATGTTGTCGGTGATGTGCTTGTATGCTTTTTTGCTCCTTGCAAGTGGTTCTTTTGCTAAGATTCATAATAAGCTATGGTGGAACAATACCGTTGTCTACCAGATTTATCCGAGAAGTTTCTGTGACTCAGATGCCGATGGAATAGGCGACTTAAAGGGTAAGCATATGCTAATTGTGTAACTTGCTGTTATGTCTTGTTTAATAAAGAATAACGAATTATTAAATTGATATATAACAATTACAAATTCTATTGAATTAATTAATATTGTACAATTTTATACAATTAAGCCGAAAATGTTTGTTATCTGAAAATTGAAAGCTATTCGAGCATAACAATACAACGACACTTAAATCTGCGTTTTTTGTATTGTCAGGGATAACTTCAAAGTTGAATTATATCGCGGAAACTGGCATCAATGTGATTTGGTTGTCGTCTATATATACAAGTCCCATGGTTGATTTTGGATACGATATATCCGATTTTGTTGACATCGATCCGATTTTTGGTTCATTGGAAGATCTTAAAGCTCTTCTATCGGAAGCTAGAAAGCTCGGTCTAAAAGTGAGATAACTAATATCTTGCACATTTATAAATATAAATTTTTTGTGTTATAATTACATTTAAATATAAAATGTCAATAAGGTTTTTTATCTCTGTTTATTTGATTTTATAAAAACGTTTTTTATTATGTTTTACTTTTTATTGCTACTTTGGAATCATTTTATATTATTTTTACAGGTAATTCTCGATCTTGTGCCGAGCCATACATCTGATAAGCATATATGGTTCCAAAAGGCTCTCCGAGGTCATAAAAAGTATAAGAATTATTATATATGGGCAGACGGCAGAAATAATGACGATAAAACGCCGCCTAATAATTCGATTAGTGTATTTGGTGGATCTGCGTGGACTTATGAAGAATCACAAAAACAATGGTATTTCCATCAATTTGAGTATAGACAACCCGATTTAAATATCCGTAATCCTACAGTAAGAATGGAGATGTTAGTAAGTGTAAATTAGTTTAAATTATTTTTATGTTACTATGTTTGCGATGCGGAAGGTAATGGGATACCATTATAATTATTCCAAGTGAATTTTCTCATTTGACATGGAGTCGGTCATGCAGGAGAGGATCCCCAGTAATGGGGCAACGACTTGATTGATTGATTGTTACTATACATTGTACTCTTTCTGAAAGATACTCCTATAACTCAAAACACTTTTAATTCTATTTATTTTACTGATAAAAGTATTAAATTATGATTTACAATTTTAATAAACTATAATGATAAATATTAATGCATATATTAATAATTTAATTATTAATAAATATATTAATATTTTATTAAGCTAAATAAAAAAACTTTAAGACTTCCGAAATTGTTAAATATTAAAGTATATATAAACGAGGGCTAATGGGAATTAAAGCGCAATAATTGGAACGCTAATTAATTTGTGTAAAAAAACATTTCTTATTCAAATTATTAATTTAATATAAAACTTAACATAAATCTTTTAACTGCTGCTTGTGATCACTGTTTTTTTTTATTTTATAATATGGAAGTATAATGGAGTAAATTAGCTCAATAAGTTATATAATTCATTATTATAAAAATTTATTGGTCTTAATGTTTTAGTACATAGTATACCTTTAATTTTTTAATTTATTATTTGAGCTATTTTAATTAATATTTATGACATATATTGTATAAAAAATGTATAAATGTAAAAATAAGTTTATATCTACAAACTAAAGTCAAAATGTAAATTCGTGTAGATTTTAATTAGAAAAATATGTATACAAAGATTAACAAAAAAAATCATAGCAGAATTATTATCACAAATTTCAAAAACATTTTTGTTTAATTACAGAAAGTTTTGAAATTTTTGTTGGATTTGGGTGTAAACGGATTCTGCGTCGATTCCGCTCCATTTATTTATGAAGACTCAGAATTGCGAGACGAACCTAGAAGTGGTGTAGACGGTGCAACGTCGCGAGAGCATAAGTATTTGAAGCATATTTATACCACGGATTTAATCGAATTGTTTGGAGAGTTGCAAAAATTCGTGGATTTATATGCTTCAAAACGTAATCAGGATCAGAAGGTGAATGATATACGATATTCTGTTTCTTTTTTTTTTTATTAAAATCATTTATCGTTTTTCATTCTTATTTATACATATTATAAAATGTTTTCTTTCTGATTTAGTTGATGGTGATGGAGGCGTACACCGATCCTAAGCACATTATGCAATCACATTACGATTACTTACTTTCATTTAATTTCGAGTTTATTGCAATTAATGTGAACGCAACATTGTCTGCGCAAGAATATAAACAACAAATAGATCTGTGGATGAATTCGATGCCAAGAGGTAAAATCGCTAATTGGGCGGTACGTAGTTATATGAATGAAATTATCATTACCTTAATGGAGGCATCATAAATTAATTTAATATTACATATATATTTAATATTTTTATTGTTTTGTTACAAAACGTTGCGAGATGCTGTTGTAAATTATTATGATATAATGGCAATGTGTGAATCTTGTCCTATTTCTAAAACTGAATATACTACAATGTGTGCGTTGCATTATATTTTAAAGAACTATAGTATTTAAATTAGTATTTAGACAAATATTTTAAAGACGTTTTTTATTATGAATAAGAAAGAAACAGGAATACTGTCAAAAGGTTACGAGAAATTTTTATCTAAATGTATATAGTCGACTGGCTTTATTAGTTTAAAACCCGAACAGAAAAGATCCAAATTGCAAGTTATTAATTTTATTCCTTTATAAATTAAAGGATCTATGTAATATAAGAAATTCTAAAAAATCTTAAAATTATTGATGAATCTATAAGAGCAGATTTATCTTCCATTCCATAAAAATAAGAATTCCCTCATTTTTTCTATAGGCAACAACATAATATAAATCTTTTTTCAGATGGGAAATCACGATAATCCCCGAGTTGCCTCTCGTTATCCTGATAGAACGGATCAAATGATCATGTTGTCTATGGTCTTGCCAGGCTTGGTGGTGACATATAACGGTGATGAAATTGGCACGGTGGACAAGAGAGATATATCTTGGGAAGACACGCAGGACCTTCAAGCGCATATTGCGGATAAAGGGCATTATAAGAATGTGTCCCGTAATCCTGAACGCACGCCATTCCAATGGGACGCGACGAAAAATGCAGGTAAAGACAAATTTGTGTCCACCATAGTGTATTTAGTAAAAACAAATAACATATTTTCCTAAAATCTTAATTATTTATCGTTACAGGTTTTAGTACAGCAAATTCGACGTGGCTTCCGGTAAATCAGAACTATAAGAAGTTGAATCAGACGAAACAGATGGAAATCAAATCGCACTACAAGATTTACAAGACTTTAGCCTACATGCACCGAACAGAATCGGCCCTCACTGAAGGAAGTTATAAATCAATTACGACAAATAATGACACTGTTCTAGGTATAATCCGAAACAATGGTATCCGCGTCGTGTTGCTTCTGATTAATTTCAGTGATGATGAACAACAAGTTGTCGATTTGTCACAAGAAGAACTTCCTTCGAAATTAAAGGTCAAAGTCTCCAGTATGGGTTCTAAAGTGATACATGGGTACAGTTTACGCATTTTCTGAAATATTAATAGTTAATTAATGACAAAAATAAATAATTTTTGTTTTTTAATTTGTTGTTTGTATAGAAATTGTCTAGATAGAACTACTATTGCTATAAAAAAAAATTTGTTTAAATAATATTTTGGCAAGAAATTGTCTATAGATTTTTTAAAGAAATTATTATGGAAAATATATTATTTTATATATATAATGTCAATAGGAAATATATTTAATATAAATTAATTAGTTCTATATAAAAAATATTTCTATATAAATTTTATATAAATTAATTAGTAATAATTCATGTCTGTTCTTTTGCATTTATAGGAATTTAGTTGATGTGAAGAAGATAGTTCTACCTGCTAAAGCTGCTGTAGTATGCACGTCCATATGAATACATAACTTTCTAATTATACCTATTTACTATATATTCTAGAAAAATTATTAACTGCACTTGTAAATTGTAACTTTTCTTGCAATAAAAAGATATAATTTGAACACAGCAATTCTTGTAAAAAGAATTAATTGGACACTTTTGTCATATTTGTGTATATAATTCGAATTTTTGTCTAATTTGAAACTTTGCTCGCATAATTATTCTGTTTATTGATTTATTATTTCAAATTATGTAAGTATAAATAAAAAATCTTGATTTTAGCATATGAGTCATGATAAAAGGTACTCAATTATGCCACTAATTGTAAGTGATGGATCAAAGGCGTGCATGATTCAGTAGATTTGTATGTACTAAATAGCGCTATCGAGCGGATGTTCATAATTTCATAACGCCAAAAATTTATTTATAATATGGATTTTGACGAGAGACACTTTTATTACACATTTACTGAATCATTGCATATCGGTCATTTCGCCCCATTACTTACAATTGACACGATTGAGTGTATCATAATTCAAAAATCGTTTTAATCAAATTTGTATTGCTTAATTATTTTGCATATTCGGCGCTACCAATTTTTATAGTTAAATAAAAAAAATTTACTTATTATTTTATTCACAATACAAATCTTTGATTAAAGTGTAGATATCTTATTAACTCACATTTTTTATGTTTATCCAACTAAACATATAATATATTGAAATATTTTTATCGAATAGTTTATTGTTAGCTGGCATTGTATCGACTGCCAGTAGGTGTACGGTGGCGGATTTCTTCACAACTGAAATTAATGAATGTGCCGGTAAATCGAGACATTGTATTGATCGCGATAAACGCATGCGCCTTTATTAATTCGATCGTACGTCTGGAGGGGTAATGCAACGTTACGTGCCAATGGGCCCCGAGGTAGCTGCAAAGCTCGCGATAGTGCAAGTCCATAGTAGTATGTCAAGAGCAGTGTTGCACGTGTTTGTACAAACATTCGACGAAGGTGACAGTGATTGTCTGTGATCCCGAACTTCATTCCTCTACGGTATTTAATTGGAAGAATATATCAAAACTCAAATTATTATCTCGTAATAAGCTCTAAGATATGTATTGACTTGTTTTATTTTTTATCCATTTATATTGTTCTTTACAATAATTTTTTAAATAGATATCTATAAGTTTAGAATCTACCATGGAATACTTTTTACTTTGATCAATAAAACGTAATTTATAGAACGATAGCGTCGTTTGTTTTGACAGCTGTGCTCATTGTATCATTTGCAAATTGTCTATTTTTAGTGTTTTTCATTTAATATATTATTACTTTCAATTTTTTAATTATTTACTATATTATTTAAAATATTATTTATTAATATATATTTTAAATATATTATATACTTTCAATTAAAAAATATTTATAAATTTTTGAACTGTAGTTATCACAATTTCTTTATACTGAATATTAAATTCGATTACTTAAGATTTTATTTTTAATAACATTTTTTTTAATATGTAAATATATTTCAAGCTTCCGATTTTTGCATGATTTTATTGTATAGAAATGATTGATGTAATAATAAGATATCGATATTTTTTAACTACGAATTTTAAATAGAAATTTAGCTAAGCTTACGTAACTGTTATTTATTATCTTATATGAGTGAGGTATTTTACATACATCTAACTAACTTTTTTATTGGATAACTAATATCTTTACAATAATTAAATAACGATTTCATTAACAAATCTTTTATAATTGATATAACAATTGATTCGATTACATTGATGATTCTTATTTTACGATATATTTGATATATACGCATACATTTAATGTGCAAATCGTGTATACTTTAAATTGTATTTCACTAACAGAGTAAACAACACATGAAAGTCTATTTACCAAAAACATTTCTGTTACATTGTTTTTAGTTTGTGTTTTCTAATTTTTTAATTTTTCCAGCACGCGATTAATTGCTGTAAGCTATAATACTATAACAGTATATGGTGTGATAAGTCAAAATTGTGATTAAATTGTTTGTTATTATAATTAGCGAACAATTAATAAATATTTAAGCATTTGTAAATTTAATTTGATACCGATGTATGAATTTTCTAGCAAGTCAATTTTCTCACATTTTTATACTTGTATAGTATAATGCAAGCATACAAATTAACATGCAAAATGTTGAAAAATATTTTTTAAAAGCCGAGAAAGTTAATGTGTATACGAATTAATGGAGTTTAAAATATTTCAAACCAATGCAGATTTTAGCTTGCGTTTTGACGAATATAGCTAATTCGACACGCAAATTTACTATCGCAACATGTTTAAACGTTACTCGTGTTTCTCGTTTAATATTTTTGCGATATTAATTTTTCGCATGTGGAATATATTGGATCATATTTTGCATTAATAATTTACTGTTCTCCGAACAACGACGAAATCGTTATCCATTCTGTTTGCAGTTATGTTTAGCTACATTGACCCGGCGCACTCGTTTCTCTTTGCTGCCGAGTGACAAATATCGTCTTTGTTGCACTTGCGCTTATTGTCTATATTTTTGTCGTTGTATTTACAAATGCGCTGAGGAACTTCTTTTTCCTTTTACTGTCTCTTTTTCTTTTGGGATTTTAATATTTAAAAATGTCTCCGCATGTCTCCCGCATAGCGCAGAACTGCATAATATAGATAACGCTGCATTGCAGTTGTGTTACATTGTGAAATACTGTCGTCCATATGCCGTTCGATATCGTTCACTCCCGCATGATCTGCTTTGTTATAATAATTTTTCATTGATATTTGTTTGCCGCTGTTTATGTGCCGATCATTGTTCCTTATAGTATTTTATCACACGTATAACTTTATGTTACTGATATAAAATTTTATATCTCCTAGTATGTATTAATATGCATCTAGTCTCATTCTAATACTATCAAGAATATATTCGATCATTGCCAGTATATTATTCTTCGTGCATACGTCTTAATAAACTGTAAGGATGTAAACTAATAAAATTATTTTTTAGTTCTAGTTCTTTAAATAGTATTTTTCCTTTATTTTCTATTACTTATTTTATTATTTTATTTCTGGAGATATTTATTCTTAGAAAGAATAAATATGTTCTAAGAAAGAGAAGGAAAATATTTGATTTACAATAAATTTTAAATAAATTTTGAAATATTTTATGTTATAGTTTTTTGAAATACATTTACGTTAATAATTTTTTTATTAAAATGTTGAATTTTTCGAATATCGATTTATGATTTCCTTTCAAGATTAAGACGTTTACATGACTATATTTCGAATATTGAGATATATTGATACAGAATTCGTAATGGATATTATATATGTTTTGGCCTAGCATCGCCCACATTAATCGGAAATTCTCGCGGCGTCGAACTTGCTGTAGACATGTGGACGCAATCAATGATCTATCTTTAGACACTATGAAAAGAGTTTTATTTGCAGTTTTGTACGATAAATACCGATGATTATTTATTGCGCATTCTTTACTACAATTATTTCTATATTAAATGTTTTATAAATTTTCTTATTAATTGTTATAATAATAACATGTAGTATTAATAATGTTTTAAAGTTAACACGAAAATTTTGTAACAGAAAATTTTAATAATAATGAGTAAAAATGAAAGACCTTTACATCTATTTATATACTAAATTTTTTGTTTGTCAAAATTATTGAACTATATCAATTGTGTAGTTAAGATGTAAATTAAATTTTTATTAAGCGAAACTTGTATATTTTGAAGAGCATTATTACTTTAAATGATTATTATTTATTGTTATATGTATAATGTTAAAATTATGTAATTATATAGCGGTAAAATTCTTACGAACGCAAACAGTTGGAATATATAACGAACCGCATTTTACCAAAAATTTGTATGCAGTAGTTAAGAATAGCCATAAAGGATATCCGCGTTGATTTTATATCATTTGCGGTTACCATAACGTAAGATTATATAAGCCTGTTCACAGTTTAACATATTCAGTCAATAATAGACGACTATCCAGTATCTGATTTTCACGATTTAATTTTATTAGTTCAACTTGTTTTATGCCATTCCTTTATTTATCGACAGATATTGAAGGAAGATGTATTTTATGGTAACATCGAGAATATAAGTTATCCTGTGTTTATAATGTGTATATTTATATATTCACGATACCGTTTTCCGGAAGCTCTCGGAATAAATAAATCGTTTTAAAGATTCTTTGTCAGCAAAAAAGTAGAGCACGATATAAACGGAATGCCCTTTCCTAGTGATATGTCGCGCATTTTTCTCTTTAGTGTAAGTATAAAGCATGAATGCAAAAGGTCGCATGTAATTAATGTAATGTGTGATTAAATGAATGAGCAAAACACATTATATTTATTGTGATTGTGTGTGTTTGTGTGTGTGTGTGTGTGTGTGTGTATATGTGTGTATATACGTTGCTGATAAATTAATTGATAAACTTTTACTCTGGTAAAAATAAAAATTGGAGCGTAAGTCAAATGTACGGGAAGAGTAATAGAAGCGTAAATGAAGCTTTTAGGAGGCGAAAATTGGAACAACAAAACATAAAAGAAACGGAAAAGCCTCTTTATGTTTTGTTTCAATGTTCGCTTCTCCTAGAAGTTTGATTTACGCTTCTGTTACTCTCTCCTTATGTTAGATTTACGCTACGATTTTTATTTTCGCCAAGGTATATATTCTCTCTCTCCCCCCCCCTCTCTCTCTTATTCACATATTATTTCTAAACACGCACTAGTAGGCGATTTTTCGTGAAAATTTACGGATTAATAGAAGTTTATGACTTTCCAAATTATATATAATTTAATAAAAACGACATTTTAATTTTTTACAGTAACAGAGTTGGCATAAAAATATTTGTAAAATAATCAGTAATGTATTTATGTACGTAAAGAACAAGAAATTAATAACATTAAGTTTTTTCATATGAGATAGTACACAAGATTTCACATCATTAATCAGCTATTTGTGATAATAAATTTTACGCAATGTAAATATTATTTATTCTTTTTGCATACGTAATTGTTTTTGTACTTTGAGTATTTTTCATTTTATTTTATTTTGAATAAAATGGCACGAGTTCAAACAATTTAAGTGACCTCGAAATTTTATCACTTCCAGCCGACATATCTTTTTTCAACTCCCTTTTTACTACGATTCACCGTTATCGTTTTACGCATAACGTACACGTGTACATAGATGAGTAGGTGGTCGGTAGTGGCCTATATACATCGGAAATGAAGCTTACGTTTCTTATCTGAGATTACTTTCAGAGCCTTATTCGCAAGGACTATATTGAGCCTACAACTAACCGACGAGGTAGGTCGCGAGTTTCGCAAATTACTTTGCTGAAACGTCGGAATGTGTAATAGGAATCCGGTGCAAACTACTTTAGCGAATTAGAAATTTTCATGATCGGCATTCAAACAAGGTCTGTCGAATAAGATAATTACTAATTTCTCCTTGTTATTGTTTCACTCGAAATTTATTGTTATTAATAAGAAAACATGATATTATTTATATACTTCGAAAAAGCCTATAGTAGCATAACTTTTATTTTTATTATTTTATTTTTATTAATTTTTATTTTCAGTTTACGGAAGATCTTAGGCATTTTAAAATTAAAAAGTTTTACTGCTTTTTACTTATTTATGACTTAAAAGTGCACAAGTTATTTTGTAAATATAAATTAGGAAAATTCGTAAAAATACAATATCTAACTTTATATATTAAACTAATTGTCATATTATATTTTTTAATTTTTCACTTTTACAAGAGCAAGAGTGCTATTCATACTTTGCACATAAATCAAAAAAGCAAAAATTGAATCTTTAAAAGCTATACATTAATTTAGTAATCAATTCTATAATATTATCTTGGACTTATTCTATTTGCGGCATTAAACACTCGTTGCTTTAATTAAAATTGCAAACATATGATAAATATTTGTGTTTTCAAATACTCACAGCATAGCAATCTTCATCTGTTGCATGCAATTATCTATTGAATGCAATATTATAATTTTTAAATTTTATTTTTTTTGCATTTGTATCTTTTAAAATTTTAAATACTGTTATTATCAGGTATTAATTGATTCATTATGAGATGATTGTACAAATAATTTATTGTTTAGGCACGAGAGGTGCCGACAGCACTACTAAATTATGACTCTTGAAAATACAGAGTTATTGCGATTTACATATGATGTACTTATTCCAGGATATGGTAGACGTTACAACTGCTTTACCATCCAATGGAGGGGCGTCGTTAATTGGACGCACCAGAGGTGCTCTTAGATCTGTGCGAACCGCTCTAGGAGGAAGCGGGGAATATCTTCAGGGCCTAGGGAACAGAATAGGATCTGCTCTTAGCAATAGCTTAGAAGAAAGCGAACTGACTACAACCCCTTCTACGCCATCATCATCGCTGCAAGCACCTGCACTGCAGCCTATCAAGTCAGAAGAACAATTAGGACGGCGGAAACTCAGGCTTCCGAGGTAAGTAAACGTTTTGTTATCCTAAATGCCTTATAACAATTAGGTCATGTACGTTAAGAGCGTAGAAACTGTAAACTGTAAACTTGGCAGTGTTGAAACTGTAAACTTGACTGTTGAATGTTATTCAACAAGATGAGTAATTCAATGTTTTCAAATATCCAAACTAACAATCCTTTATTTGTAGAATTGAAATCAATTTCTATACTAAAAAATATTAAAATATGCGTAAATAATTTTTACATATATACGCACTTATCTGTTCTAACCCAATATTATAAATATATTTTTGGTATCTTTTATAAATAATATTTAGAACAATTATATATATATATATATATATATATATATATGTCTAAAATATAAATAAGATTTGAAGTAATACCACATTTTAAATTTATTATATTTTCTTCATATTTGTTATTATACAGCTATAATTTCATTTGCTATATACAATTTGCCGAATTAATATTAGGTATTTGCTAGTCTATACATGACATACATACATAAAATCATATAATGTTCTTGTAATGTAAATTTTAATTGTATGTGCAGTTCTTATAAGCTATTAACGTGTCGTACGCACTATAACACGGATTTACACTTGTTAGAGAAAGATAATATTGTAATATTCACTACTCATGAATATTTATACTGCGACACGCAATATTTCATTTGTAGATTTGGCGCGGGATTATCCTACGAGGATTATGAGGCAATAGCGCGACACAAATTGGAACGGCAGGGAAGCGCCAATCTTTCCAGAACACGAAAATATCCACCTGGGATGACTTACGAAGAGATAGCATCATCCAGATCAGTCTCAAGTAAGAAACAGGAGAACCGAATTGAACAGGACGATATCAGTCCTGATCGCGACAGCCAGGAAAGTATAGAGCCCATTCAGGAGCAGGACATCAAAGCGACCGGGCCTGATCCTTACGAGAAATTGAATTACAAAGCAGGTGATTAGCTCTCACCTCCAATTATCCGCGACAGACGTCGACCAAGTCGAAGTCAATAACTCTCTTCGTCTTCGACGACGATTACTATCTTTCTCTCGCTCGCGATTATTGTGATCATGCAGTTACCGAGACTCGGCTGGAAATAATATACTGTGTTCTTCTTTCTTTCACGAAGCGAGGGCGCCGACCCGCTATCAGACGGTTGTTTTCCGTTTAGGTAAATGTAACAGTCAGTCAGTGTGGACTGCCCCTGTGATTTCACCCGCGTGTCCCCTCAGTGTATTACACGTAGGGATGCTTCAGCTTCAAAAATATCAAGACTTTTACGTATTTAAATACGTGCACGTGAGAAATATCAATTGGTACATATTACTTAATACATACTCTTCTAAAAAGTAATGGTATTGTACAGTATTTATAAGTTTTTGATACATAAGAAAAAATACACTCTTAAAAATATGAATGTAATTTCCATATTAGTAAGAATTATATAATTCTCATCAATATAAAAATTACATCCATATTTTTAAGAATATAATAGATCAACGCAAATAGTACAGTTTTGTAATAATATATAAAATATTTTTTGAAAATTTCATAAAAGATTATTACATCTTCAATAACAGTTTAAAATATTAACAACGTTATATTCAATTACGATTTAATATTTTTGTTCAAGTATTAATGTGCACGTATAGCTAGTGTAAAATTAATTATCAACATTCAGATTATATATTATCTAAACAAAGTCTCGATATTTAGAAGCTATTGTAATCTTACCACACGCCCGAATTTCTGACCCCTCTTCCTCAGCTAGATGTGATTAGCGAATATTAGTGCAATCGATATGTTCGCGTAACCCGGTGTTCGAATATTAGTGGGTCGATTGCAATGAAACCTTATATGGTTTGACTTGGAGATATTGATTTTCATAATTAAACGTTTCATGATGCATCAAGATATTTAAATAGATTAGAAGATCTAATTTGTTTTAGTTTCTTTGTGCTATTTAAATTATGCAATGTATAAATGAAAAACAAAAACATCTTTTCATCCAATTTCATAGCATTTACTCTCTTTTGTAAAAAATATTATAATTCGAATATAATTTTAGTGTATATTATATACATACTTTCTAATTTTATTCCGGGCTTATTTATATATTGTATGATTTTTTTTACGATAAATGATGAATATTGAGAATGTAAATAAATGCACCTTAAATATATGCATCTTAATAATAATAAAAACAATATTTAAAAATGAGAGATAAATTGGTTTATACATATATAACATATCCAAAAAAAGAAACCTATGATTAGCATAACCTAAATTATTGCATCTTTATTTTTCTTCGAAATTAAACTGCAGTACAATAATATATACAGAATTTAATTGTGGATTATGTAAATTATAAAGTTTAAATAAAAAGTCATTAAATGAAAACACATATTGTTTTGTTACATACGTATTTTTTATGAAAATAAACTTAGAATAAATTTTGTTTTGGAGAAGATGCAATTAAATATTAGCGTGTTTTAACTTTGTTATTCGTGATCATTTTTTTGGACGTGTTATATATAAAATACAATTCGGCACTTGTATATTCGAACACGTCGCGTCGTCATACTTGTAGTTTCTTGCCAGACATTGCATCCCTTTGGTAAAGATGTTGTTACCTGTGTATATGTGTGCATACTTTCACACGAATTGCCTATTGCACCCCGATTGCATTCATAGTTCAAATGAAGAATCGTTCTACGTGGGCGGAAAATATTCCGTTATGTACAGTAACAGTTGCGATAAATAGTCACACTTATCGTCTACTGGATGCTTCAGTTATTTCCGCAACATTAAGCGATACGTCGCAAGGATGTGTAGGTGTAGACAGTTAAGTAATATCGCGGATGTAAATATGTAACTTTCAGTATCATATATTATAACAATGATCATTCGAGAGTGTACCTCGCTGTACTTTGGATCATTTTACTTTGAAAAGTTTTTTAACATTAACAAGTCAAGTGATTGTGATAATTTTACATCTCGTTGATGGGATATGAATAGTAGCTCTAGGCAAGTAATTCTAGCATAAAATATTTATTTGCATAAAGTTCATATTACATTAGTGCATAAAATTAATAATTATTGATTATATTTATATTAATTTTAATATGTATGAAAGAGGATATTATTTTGATTCAAATATAATTTTAGTATATATATATCATAGAGACGCTTTTTAATTTTATTCCGGATTTATCTCTCTATATGATTTTTTTCTTCATATTTTGCCGAATATTAATTTGAAACTGGCGGAATATAATTATGTAAGAGTGACGGACACTTTAGTTGTATAGTTTAGTCAACTTTTATCTCTTTGTCGTTTATTTTTGTCCAATAAATCATTTAGATTAGATTTTATTGCAAGTTTAGGTGTCGCCCGTGACGCACCATTGCTTGACACATTAATTACAATCGTGTTAAAGATTACACTTAAATATATATTTGTCACAAGGTAATTTTTTATTTTAGACATGCCTTGCAGTAGTGATTCTACGAGTGATCAAGATGGATACGGACCCAGCACTAGTTTGGATTCTAACATGGATGGTCGCAGAATATGGCAAAGATCAGGTACCGATTAGAATTCTTATATTTATTTAATATTTATTTGAGAAATTATTTTAACTATTTATAAATTAAGAATGTTTATAATAATACCATAAACAAACATAAATTACAACATTTGTAACTACTGCAATATAAACTTATTATTGTTTAGGTTCATCGGGATCTGTTCAGTCCTGGGCTTCGAGCTTATCAGCTGATAGTCAGTCGGAGGAAGCTGCCGCAGACTTCATGAAAGCTTTTGTACCTTTACTATTCGACGCGCCTAATACTATCGATCAAGAACAAAAGGCTAATTTTGGGCAGATGGTTTTGGTATTTATCAAATGTTATAAAACATTTTAATAGCATCATTTTATAACTTTTTAATTAATAATATGTAAAATATTAATAATATTAATGATATCAATCAATAATCTGAAAATATAATGATATGAAAAGTACTAAAATCAGTAGAAAGATACATGTGTTTGTTTTGACACTTATGATTTAATGCAATATTAAATTTACAGACAGAATCGGGAAGAATATGGTTCTCCAGGGTAGTGAACGCGAGAAGAGCACGTGCGTGTGTCACAGAAGCTTCATTTTATTCTTTGGCGCAGCATTTCGCAGTCGCGCTGTTTGAATGCCATGAAGCGGATGATTTTGCCCCCGCTAAAAGTCTCATGAACATGTGCTTCACTTTCTATCATGAAGGTAATGAAAAACTAAGGCTAAAAATTGCTAATTTTTAAATCTTACGATAATTTTAGAATATTATAGAAATGTTTTAAAAGGAAAAAGAATTATAATATCAAACATTAAAAACTAATATGGTGTTATAACATTGTTATGTTATATATTAAGTAAATATTTAAGATACGTAAACTGAATATAATAAATTTCTAAAGTATATACATATGATTCTATACTATTAGATAATTACTATGTACTTTTTATTAATTTGTAAATCATGTTTATCATCTTTATTATTTAATGCGCTGCGTCTTTGAGATTGCATATTTATTCTATCATGTAATTTTAGTGGAAGTTCCTGGATTAGAGCCTTACCGTGAATATTTATACACACATTTACGCGTTCAACCAATATGGACATCTATGAGATTTTGGACAGCTGCTTTCTTTGACGCAGTACAATGTGAGCGAGCGTCAAGACCGGTACCACCTCGACCGAAATCCTTAGATCAGGAAAGTATCGCCGCTGAAGACAGAAAGTTTCAAGCAAACATTGTCTTTGGACAATTAGGGTAAATATTAATATTTAATCTATATTTAAATATTTTAGATATATTTTTATTTTAGCGATATTTTCAGGACTTTTACTTGCAACATGCATGCTTTCGGCCTGTCACGAGCTTTATGCACGGAGTTCCTCCGGAAACAATGTATTATAGCGAATTTAACTAAAGGTGATTATTCATATTTATTTTATATATTCGAGTTTTTCTGACTAGAAAGATTTAAAATTTAAAATAAGGGCAAAGATTTTTAATAATGGAGAATTTATCTCATTTTGTTTTTTTCAGAACAAGAGAAGATGCTGCGAGATAACATAGATCGAATGTTCGATGAGACCGAGCCATGGCGGTAGTTTAGTTTGAATGAACAGTTAAGATTGATTTTGAAAATTGCTTTAAAGAAACATTTTGCAATGTTTCTTCTTGGAAATATTTCCGACGAAATAGAATTGTCTTCGAACGCCGAGAAAGCGATGAAGTCAATTATGAAAACAATCTTGTTAATAACGTTGATATAAGTCGACATTTGTTGAATCTTTCGCGGTATTCGACGCTGGACACGTCAATTCCTAAAATGCAAACACTGCACAGATTTGCGCCTTAAATTGTGAAAGGTATATTAAATCTTACGTTTCTGAAAACTATTAAAAGATTACGAAAGATTTTTCCAAAATCGCTGAAACGAGGATTGAGGAATTGATCCTATAACGTTAACAGAGATTAAAAAAAATTAAAATTTGGAAATTGGGATTTCAAATATTTTGAAATTTTTAAACAAATTATTAATATTTACATAGCGATGATAAAGTTAAGAATAGAAATGACAATAAGGAACTGCATTTGAAAATGGAATTGCATTATTGACAGTTCTATTGAAGTGTCATTTGTTGAGTGTAATTTATTATATTGAGGAGAAATGAAAAGAAGAAATATTATTAATGATAGAAAGCACATAATTCGATATATACTTACACAAATAATTTTTAATACATCAAAATTTATTTTTAAACAAAATTTTACATAAATAAGGTTTCGTTAAGTATAACCAGTATAACTCTTCTATCACATTTTGCGCGGAAGATCTTTTTTTACTATTTTGTGTTATTACAAAATATAATTAACAGTTTTGATGCATCAAGAATTAATTTTAATAGTAAGGTTAAAGTTTATAGTTATAAATTTTGCTTATAGTTATAAATTGCTTATAGTTATAAATTTACTGCTTTTAAGTCTAAAATTAATGGCTAATTATAAAAACACGGGTCATAGATAGACATTACTTTATATTGCTTCTTTCCTGGCAAACGCATAGACAATTTCAAGCGTTACATGCGTAATTTTGAACTAAATTAACAATTTTTGAAAATTATGCATTTTGTAAGTGCTTACAAACACATAAAGAATATGTGTTTTATCTTTATTATTAGGTAGAAGTATTAATTTTTTTTTTTCAAATAGCGAATGTCAGCATATGTAATCGACAATTTGCGCATTCCGACGCCTTGTTATCACACACATCATGCAATGTAAATAATTTTTAGGGAAAGCTTGTACCTAAACACATATCATCAAATGCAAATTAATACGCTCTATTTTATTTTATACATATACATATGTCCACCTACGATGTCTGCAAAGAAATGATGAACTTAAAAAGTACTAAATAAAGATAAATAAATTTCATTACCGCATTTTAAAATCTTTTAATAACAAATTAATAATCCCTTTTATTTTATGTAGGGAGACCGGGGTTAGTAGACTCATTTTTCAGTTTCAAATTTTTACAAACAAAATTAAGAGACTTATCGAAAAAATGAATTCTACACCAGTTACTACAAATATTTGACTATCTAATAATATTTTAATAATAAGCGAAAACTGATTATAAACATTTACTACTGAGGTAAATCTTTTTAGAGGAATAAAATATTGCCATTCTTTTTCAAGAAGTGAAACATTTTCACTCTTTTTCAAAACTGACTGTATTTTCACTTTTTTATAATAAGATTTCATTCCAAGAAGTTTAAAAATAGGTACTATCAGAATCGTCACTAAATTAGTCATATAGCCCCGTGTTGTGATTGGTCTACTAGCCCCATCCGTTCATTTTTTAAAAATATAACATTATACGATATAACAAAACAGATAAAAAAATCTGTTATTGGATTTTATTAAGTAAGAATTACACTTACTATCTAAATAGAAATCAAATATCTGAGACAATTATATACGATTGTAGAACAAAAACATTAAGAATAAAAATAGTTACTTACGTGTACGATTTTTTTTAATTGTAACGTAATTTCTATTACAGACGCGTCCGCTTCAAGATCTTACTACCATAGACAGCGGCAATCGCCGCTGTGTGTTTAGAGTTTCAGACACGTTTATGCGTGTCTCGCGCAATTTGTTTATAACGCATCCTCGATTATTCTACTTACTCCTATAATCTACTGATCCCGGTCTCCATATTTATTTTTATGTATTCAAGTAAAAAATTTGGCAATTTAAAACAAAAGCGTAGAAAAATTAACTTTACATTAAAAATACATTAATATGTATTGTAAGTGTATTATTACGTTAAAAATATTACAAAACATTACAAAAAGTACATTATATATAATTATTATTTTAGAAAATAATAATTTTATTTGTTCTAAATTCTGTAAAAATTCTATGTAAAAACAAGTGTTATATAGAATTATTATATAGAATAGAGAATAGAGAATAATCGTGATCTGTTTGTCTTATGCTTTGTAATAGTTTAGAGAGAGAAATTATGCTATATATGCATGTCTGCAAAATTTATATTTATTTTCAGCATTTATTCTAAAATTGTTTACATTATTTTAGTATATGTATAACGCAAAAATTTCCTAATTTCTAAAATTTTTGCTAATTACTTCTTTTATTTACCTTTTTTAATATCTTTGGTGATATTTGTAAATTTTATTTAATCTTTTCGAATATCTTTAGAATTTCATTCCTTTCTCTAAACCGTTCGAAGGGTATGCTTTTAGAAAAGAAGTTTTCAATGGTCTTTTAGGAATAGGGGATTTCTCATTATTATTAACAACCTTCCTGGGACTTATACAGGACTTATTTTGAAAATTTATATCTGGATCCCATTGATCTTGAGAAGATACTGGATCACTTCGATTCCATTCTAAAGATTTTTGAAGTTCTTTCCGGGCTTTCATATACTTCTCAGAAAGTATAGGTTTATTGTCTTCTTTTAATAAAAATTTTTTATCGAGAGACTCATTGGATGCTTCGTTAAACATTTCAGATTTCTCCGAAAGCTTCTCCAGAATTCCATCACCCCGAATTATTTTGTGAGAAAAATTATTTGTGTTGACATTACTTTTGGTAAGTTTTAATTGTTTCGATTTATCAATATTCTGAATTTCATTTCTAATACCTAAAATGTCTTTTGTACTATTCGACTGTTCTACACAACTGAAATCGTAATCAAATATGCTTCGCGGACTTCGAATTTCTTTCAAACTTGCTTCGATTAGATCAGCCAGATCGACTTTGTCATATTTGACTATAAAAGGGTTCTCGGACAACTCTTCATCAATGTTAAATATTTCGGATTTTGTCGCAATTACTTTCTTCTTAGGTTTGCTCTTTGCTTGTGATTGAGTTTTATTATGCAAATTTTGTATTGAAACTGGGAATGATTTTATATTTCCTACAATATTTTTTGAAACGGATGTTTTAGAAGCAGTTTGTGTTTTACACTTTAATTTACTTTCTTGTGTTGATGTCGTTGGTATCATGTTGATGTTATTGATTTTATTTGAGCATTTTTCATTGTTTGATTTTATTGTTTGATTTAGTTGTTTATCAGATATTTTGTTACGTTTAGAGACACTTTTAATTTCTTGCTTTGTTGTCATTTTTGACGTAATAAGATTTTTTTTTACATTTTTCTCATTCATGTTGAATGTAGAACTAGTATTTTTTATGTCTTTCTTTTGCAGAAACGGCTTCTCATTTTTATTCGTATACGTGCGAAATCGAGTATCAGACATTGTTTTGGAAAGTGGGATTGTTACGAGATCCATCATTGAAGAGTCTGAACGTTTCTTTGTCGTTGACGTTTTGTTCGAAGTAGATTTTGGTGCATCGCTGATAGGTTTTATTAATAATTTATTGGTTTTTGCATGATTTATAAACGATGACGAAATTCGATGATTCTGAAAAATATATTTATTGCATATTTTTATCAAACACACACAGATTAATTTTTGTTAATTATTTTTAATTATTATTTCGTACCGTTCGATCTTTAATTGATGCCTGCATTTCTTTATCTTTATACAATTGCTTCCAACCATAGATTATAACCTTTTCTTTTCCTTCTAAACTAATATTGGCTTTTTTATCTCTCGTATAAAGTATCTGCCAAACTAAATCAGTATTAAATACCTGATAAAAATACAATTAATGTGTTATAAATAATATAGAATTATTATAAATAATATATTTTAATTTCTTTTTTATGGCTTATTATTTATTTTACTCCTCCTCATCTATAAAAACAACTAGACAATGAATAGCAAATTTTTTATTTTATCTTTATATTGTTAAATGAAAAAGAATACAGAGAATAGAAAATCATATTACCATTAACCTTGTTAATAATTTTTTTTACCTCATAAGCAATATGTGATAATGAAGATAATTTAAGTATATCTGTGAACTCTAAATATTTTGATATTTTTCCGATTACTGAATTTGGTAAAGTTAAAAGATTTCTATTTCCTCCAGCAATATTTTTCACGTGTTTTAATAAATATTTACCTGTAATATTAGAAATTACAGCTTAATAAGTTTTTTCAGTTTTCCGTAATAATTAATTATTATGGAAAAATGAAAGTATTAATTATGATTTTACATATATTATGTAATCTCATATGTAATCTCATAATATAAAAAATATAGAAATATAAGTAAATAAGTAAATAAACCAGGAAGCACAATTTTGAAACAAATTTAATAAAATTAAGAATTCATTTCGAAAATATTTACCAAATCCGCGACGTATTTCATTCTGCAAAGATTTTTCTTGATCTAATTTATTAAGCTTGGCACGATATACGATCGGTGCTTTATGAGGTCCGTGAGAAATTTTCCATAAATACAGAATTACCTAAGAAGTGTAAAAAGGTTATTTGAAAAAAGATGACTTTAAATTTATCAGTACCTCGTCTTCAATAATCTTCAGACCGTAATAATCTCTGCTGGGCGGAGGTGCAATTGAATACTTTACCAGATATTCGATCCTGTTTCTCATACTCGACGGCCACGTCGAGAGAGTTTGATCTGAACTCTGCAATTCGTTCCTTGCAGAATGACATAATTGCATAATTGCATATCGAATCGAAACGTATAAGGTGTGATACGTTTTAGATATTGGGTTTAATAGCTAAAAGTTTTTATACACTGTCAATCTTCATAATCTTAAACAGATTATGAAAAGGTATTTCAATTAAAAATTAATTTGATTAAATAATATGCAATTTGATAATTATAATATAGATAAATAATAATTACTATCATAATAATCATATTCTGATAATTGTGTGGTAATTAATGTTTTAATTAACGTATCCCTTTTTAATTTAAAACTATACTGCAGTATACTGAGTGAGACATTTAAAATAAAATACAGGAATATGTCAAAATTGAACTTAACATACAAAAGTGTTTTAGATAAAAGTTATATAGTTTAACAGCGGATAAATAATGGTAAAATTAATTTAACAATTTTTCATGGTTTATAAAAATAAAGTTTTTAACATCACTTTTATGAAATTATATGATTTTTTTACATAATGTAATTCTTCTAATTATTCTGCATATAAAAATTTTTAGATAGAGATATTGAAAAATCAATAGCTTACGAGATATTGTATACTTTATGTTTATGTTATACTTTTTTTAGCACATTTTGACATAAAATATAGAACATTTCGTAATTATTAGCTTTTTTGTACCTCAATATTTTCATATATAGAATAATGAGATGAATCAATTAGTGATGTAAAGAAGATATATAGTTATTTTTCAAATAGATTTGACAAATCCGGTGTTTTATTTTATGTATCCCTATCCCTATCCCAAACACAAATTAAACAATACTATATGTGTGCATAACTCAAATTTATTTAATTAAAAATTAAAGTTAAGTTTTTAGAATAGAACGATATAATAAATATTCTTACCTTTCAAAAACATGACGTTTTAAAACAAAAAAATTTGAAATTATGAAAGCTAAGTATCGTAGTTTGAGATTTTTTCTTCTGGTAGAAAAGAATCCGACAAATTTGACTTCGTGATATTTTATTACAATATCTTTCATATGAAGAGATGAAGATAAATATAGAAATGTCGAAGTAAAAATGGAAAGTCGTGTGGCATTACGTATAGTAGTTGTAACGTAGCAATAACAATATACAAGGTAGGCTATATAGTAATATCACAATGCATGATTCACAATTTCATAAAAGTCTAGAGAATAGGATATAAATCTAGATAGAGGATGCTTCTCATATTGAGTTGCCGCTGAGACAGAGTACCGCGTTATGTCGATCAAATAAAAATCTTTCTATTATACTTTTCTATCATTCTTTTAATTATACTTTTCATACTTTCACAAAAGTGGACGTACTTATAAGGTACATCAATTCGCGTAATGATTGTCGTTATTATTATCGTGCAAACAGGTTTATATTGTATGTATACTACATGTAATAATAGTACAACAGTACACTTTCTCAACAAGAAAGTATTTTATAATAATCCGTATTAATATTGTATTTAATGTTAAATATAATTTTATTTAAGAATTATAAGATTTAATTTAAGATTTATAAGATTTCTAATTAATTTAAAAATTGTATATCTAAAATTGGACAGCTACATTAGTGCTAAATATGTGTAAATTGAAATTTCTCCTAATAACAAAATTTTGTTATAATTGATAAATAATAGAAGAATTGAAAATCAATTTTTAAAAATTTGTCAGAAGAGTTAAGATATCCTGTTCAAAATATATGAAAGAAGATAATAAACATTTGGTATTCAATTTTCTATTTAAATGATGCAATATTCCAAATTGAATAATATTTAAGAGATACATTGATATTTAAACATATTGATTCTTTTTCTAATTATTAATTTACTTAATGAAAAAACTTATTACATCGTGGTCAAATTTAATTGAGTATTATAAGTATAAATTGATATAAAACGTATCTATAATATTTGTACAAAATATTTCACAAGAAATAAAGTATTTTAAAGTAATTATTCATTGATGTTTCATATATGAAATAACAACCAAAAATTAATCCTATCAAATATAGATATAACTACTGTATAACATATAAGTAAATATACATTTATCTATGTTATGTAGTAGTTACATTCATGCTGGGATAAGTCATTGAAAAGATAAAAAATATAATTTCCTTTCGAATATTCTCTTCTTCATTAGCAATAATAATTAGTAGGATCAATTTAATGTTTAATAATTTAAAATTATTTGCGATAATGAATAACAACAACCTTACTTATCTATGTTTCTCACAAATACTTGATCACGCAATTGATATGACATTTCTAGTTCCTTAGTCCTTATAGGCGATTGCTATGTCTCGACGGTACGAAAAGCCGCATGAATAAATTATTACGTGCTAGCATAATCGGAAAATCTTACGAGCGACGGAATAAACCTAAGCGGTATAAAAAGATTTCGGAATTTCGAGCCGTGGAACTTGCGAATCAGCCATTGTTGTATAAAATCAGTACGGCGATCGTTTATCCGATCCGGAAAATTCCCGTGATTCGTGCAACGACATCGAAAAACCGAGAAGGATCTCGTTCTCGTTCGAGAATATTTGCGCTTTTTCGAATAATTTATTTCGCAGATATCAAACTTCTTTCTACAATCGCGCTTTCGCGCGTGATTGTACCGGCAGACTCGTGAAACGTTCGTAGAGCGATTGCACCAGTGAATGTAGAAATATTGTTGCAACATGTGCATTACGTCATAAATTAGTTAAAAATGTTCAATAGCATCTGCTCACAATAATTTATGTTCTGACATTTTATATGTAAAAAAAATATTTGCATATAGAATATTTCAAAATTTCTCCTTATAAATTATATTTAATATTTTTAAGAAACTAATGAAGAAGTTAACTATTATTCTAATATAATAACTGATCAAAAGTTCTCATAATCCTGGTTTTATGTATGATTATACGTATATGTATATGTCTTGAAAAATAGCTCATGTCATGATAGCTGTGAGCATTTTCATGAAAAATATAACTTTCTACTTGGTGCATTCGCTCACTAACGAATTTTCGTGCACGAGAGATATCGATGCATCTACGTGTAACGGAAGTAAGCCCCTTAACATGCGTACGACATATTAAAAATATATAATCAAATAAAATAAATAATATATACTTTGAACAGAAATTTTACAAGCTCTTATTATAGTAAAAATGATAACGAAAAAATTTGTAATTAGTAAATTAAAATGTTGTAATTATGTGTTTTCGTGTCTACAGAAACTGAGATTAATAAAAATAATTTAGAGCTATTTTTGTAATTTAAATTAATCGATTAAGTAAAATAATATAGTTAAAATCATTGAATTTGTGTGTATATATTCTATATATCGAAGTTTCGTTAAATTTTTAATTTCATTCGATATGTGTATTATACATTATTATATTAAAGTAGGTTTGTGCATCATGACACACATTGAAATGTTTAAAACAGGATGACTTACTTCCTGATTACCACGCGTACGCGTTCGAACGTGTATACATAAATATGTGTGTATACATATATATAGATATACATAATAAATATCTATGTATATAACGTTTTGGAAGAACAGATTTGCATATTGCGATAGCGCAAAGAGAATTGGAACGCCTTACCGAGGAAACGCCTTTTACCGAGAATCCCTCACAATCAGATATGTTACTAACCTAGCTATCAACGTTATATAAATTTTTGCATATTATGGATTAATGTTGTTCTCTCGTGTCGTAATTAATTTTGTTACATTACTAAAAAATTATCAAATAATAATAATAATTTCAGAATAATATAACTTATTATTACATATTATAAATAATGATATATTGCGCGTAAAAATAAATATCATACCTCTTATTTCTAACAAGGAAACATGGAAGTGTTTCCGATTTTGATGAGCTTCTAATATAGTTGTATATATAAAATAAGGGGGAATTTGTGTAACTACATTCTCACAACCACATATTTAGAGAGAAATATTATTTTCTCTCTAAACGAATATCGTCGAAACTATAAAAAATAGAAAACTTTTTTTTAAATAAAAGATTTTAAGAGTACTTTATAATAATAAATCAATGACAACAATAATTTTTAATTTTTATTTATATAATAAATTTTATTTAACTTTATATAAATTTTATTTATGTATTTATTATACTTCACCACTTCAATATACTTCATTATTTTACTATACTTCACTACTTTTAAAGTACAAATTTAACCATGATAAAGGTATTTTTTACAAAATATTGTTTTCGGAGAATTAACGCCTTTATACATATTATCTGTATCATACATTCTTGTAGACGAGAAAATGATACAACTAACAGAAATACGAGTATCAGGCATTAATATGAAGCTATACTACAACACAAGTATTCCGATCTCACGCCCTTATGTGACGAAGCAATTTTGGCGTCAGATCTTTCAAAATCTACACTGTCACATTCTGGAGTTAGGGCCATAATAAAACTAATTTTACAAAGATATGTGTGGATAGATACAAAAGACTACCAATCCAGCGAGAAATGACTCATCGAATCGGTGTAGATTTGACGTCGAATTAATCATTTCTGCCATTCTCGGTTTTCGATTATGAAAGAATTTTATGAAATAATTTTTGAAATAATTTTTATGAAATAATTTTTGAACATTTACTCATGCCTTTAGATTTAGAAGTTAAATTTCATTCAAGAGATTCTATTTTAAAATTACAATCATTATAACGCCTTTTCAATTTGTCAAGATTTAGCAATTTATTTAAATATGCATGGGGGAGGGGGGTAAAAGTGATTATTTAGATTTTAAATCAAAAGACTAATACACCTGTAAATTTTTGTTTAAACAAAAACATTTTAAAAACAACATGCAATATTTACGGCAGTTTAAAGGATGGTATAAAAAATCTCTTTGTATACAACATTTTTTTCACATCTTTGTTAGGATTTTAAACCATAAAAAAATGAAATAAATTATATTTGCATTTTACTTGTAACTTTATTCATATTTATTACTGTAACAC